TGTGTGTGTGTGTGTGTGTGTGTGTGTGGTCTTGTTTTTCCTACAATGTGGGGCCCAGTTTTAAGGAAAATGCAGCCTCGTGGGGTCCAGGTGCTCCTTTGGGCCCCACAACTTCGGAGGCTGATTTTGGGTGGGGGGTTGGGTTTAGGATCAATGTGTGGATTGACTTTAGGTTAGTTGCAGGGTCAGGTCATGTCACCTGTGACATTAGCCTTAGGGTTTGTGGTCAGGGGTAGGATATAAAATTATCAAAAAATGAATGGAAGTCAATGGACGGGCCCCACAAGGATATAAAAACAAGTTTGTGTGTGTGTGTGTGTGTGCGTGCGTGCGTGCGTGCGTGTTTTTTATTTATTTATTTATTTTTAAAGCACCAATTTAAATACCGTTTAGGAACTGGTATCGTTTTGAAAGTATCGATTTAGCACCGGTATCGATTTAAACCTTTTCAATACCTAACCCTACTAGAGAATAAACATGTCCAATAACTGCTAAAATGAAAAAACACATTTTGTCCTAACTTTTTATTCTGATATTCATTACCAAAAGCAACTACTTCCTTCAGTGTGTTCTTTGTAGTTTAACGAAGTAGTCTGGTTATTAAAGCTGCATAGCTCTTACCACACATACAGTAGCTAACAATAAAACACTGCTAGAGCTGCATAATATATTGTTTGAGCATCGTCATCACAATGTACCTGACCGCAATAGTCACTGCAGGTCCTGCGATGTAGGATGCAAATTAAAACAATGTGTTAACTGTAGACTACACCACTAAACCAGACGTCACTGCACTAAACAATCTCATGTTATGGCTTTTATTTTGGTGGGCTGTTTCCATCAGCCACTCACTTTGGCTGAAATACAGCCAAAGTGAGTGGCTTCATGTCAAAAAAAAAAAAGATAAAACTTATTTTGTTGTGAAACTTCTGGGACAATAATGGCAATGTGTTTTTCAAAGAAGTGTTGGTGAATTCTCAAGCTGTGGAGGAAAACGATGAGGGTCTTGAAGAAAAAGAGGAAGATGAGCAAATTCACAGAGAACTAAAGGAACAGAAGGAAAATATGGTTGGTATGAATGCTAATATTAAAACATGACAACAGAAAAAAAAACGTGGGAACAGAAAGCAAGATAGAAACGGAGGCGACATGCTAGGTGACAAAACGCAATTTGGGTTTTCATGTGGCTGAAGGACACATGCACTCAGGTCCCAGCACAATAAAATATAATAAGAATAACTCTGAAATACAGACAAAAGCATACTTGTAACAAAAGCACGAAAAAAGATGTAAGATCGGTGCAGGTTCATTATCGACAAGACGCCACCTTCATTTAACGTGTTATTCAACTTGAAGGAAATTTCGTAACTGATTAATTGATGGATGCAGTTTTGTATTTTATACTTTCTGATCATTTCAGCCTTAAAGTTTGAACAGAGTAAGAGTTGGTGTGTGTCTTATCATGTGTTCTGTCTTTAGCTTAAACAAAAATGAGTTACGTTCTACGCCTGACGTAAAATGTAACACCTCCAGGGGTTTAACCAGGAAGAGATGAACATTATAAGGTCAATTCATTATTATAGCAAAGAGGTGTTTTTAGAAGAAGTTGTCAGTGTGTTGCAGAGTCTCTGCTCGGAGCAGGGCTCCTGTTTTTTGTTTTGGTTTAGCTCAAGGTCTTATGTTGAGGCCGGCTGGGTGCTGTACTGTGAACCTGATTGGAGTCAAAAGATTGAAAATAAAGTTTTGACAAGAAATCCAGTTGTATTCCTGTTTATTTGGACACACCATTTTGAACGACAGCTTTTTCCTACAAACTCATCTACTGAAAACTCCTGAAAAGTCAGTTTTTTCCAATATTGTGCAGCCCTATACACAGCCTAGTTTATTCTAATCACATAAGGAAAAGGGGGCCACAAACACTATAAACAGCAGTGACAATATGATCCCTTCCATTACCATCTTACCTCCTCTACATAGTCATGTCCCACAGGCTGGATGTCCCCCTGACCTCCTCCAGCTCTGTCATCTCTTTCAGTCTCGCTCAGTAGCTCCATCTTCTGGACAGACGGCTGAACAGGCTCGACCACTTTAGCTGCCACAGCTGCTGCTGGAGCACTGGTCGGTTTATTAGCTGTGGAGCAGGTCAACATTTAATACAGGAACTTTATGCTTTTCATTCTGTTGCTTACATTTTTCTTGCTTTAACTTAATGAACACATTTTAAATATGGACGTGTGGCAACAACATTAGTAAATTTAAAAGAGGAGCGAAACCTTTTTAAAACCTTTTGCAGGTTAAAAATGGGAGCTTTAGCATCATTTTGTGCATTTTGATGCAGAGAGAAACAATATTTTTAAAATAACATTTTAAAACTTACAGATAAGCATTATTTTGGAGGGAGCTGATTTCTTGATTGGTGGGGTTGTTTTGGCCGAAGTGTTTGCAGCCGCTGGTTTGGCCGTCACTGCGGGGGTTGTAATAACTGAGGAAGACGAGGAGGACGACACTGTAGGTTTCCCTGCTGTGGAGGTTGTTATTGCTGGAGCAGAATTATTCACCAGAACTGGCTCAGTGGATGGGATCGGTTTTCCAAGCTTGGTGTGAAGTTTCACAACCTTAACATTGTTGACAAAATGAGAGAGAGAATGTTTTTTCAACAATTTAAAGCTGCGGACGAAAAAAACTTTTCCTAATCCTTTCAGGAAGGTTTGTTTCTGAGTCTTAGAAGCTTAAATGACACGATGAGCACATCATGTTCATGTTCAGGAACAAAGACATGCCAGCTGCTTAGACTTTGTGAAGTATGAATAATTAAAGGACATCTGTAAGATAAAAAAAAGCATGAATGCTTGGCAAACCTTCTGGTGTTTGGCCCCGCGGATATGTGCAGCGTAGGCGTCCACTCCGGTGCACGACACATCACATAACTCACAGCGTAACTGGGTCTGGACTCCTTTGGGCCCATTGCTGGTCCCGCTCTGTCCCCCTGCCTTTAGGGCTGCTTCCTTTTTCTTATGCTTTTGGCCTTCATTGTGTTCCCTGTAGGTCTAATGCAGTAAATCAAACCAGTCAGCGTAAAAGCAAAAACCGAAGTATCTCTGCAGTTAAATAATCTGAATTTCAGATGTGTTGCATGCATGACACGTCAACATTTCATATGTATTTTAATATTAATTTGCAAGTTGATAAATTGCATTACAAACTGTAGAAGCTCTACTTAAAATCTCCCAACATTTGACCTAAAAATATAATATTTTTATTATCCCTTACCTGAGGGCCTGCGCAGCTGATCTTGCAAATGTCACAGTAATGAAGCTGAGGCTGCTTAGGAGGCCCCTTAGGCCTCTGCAGTTTGTTCTGGTGAAAAGTCGGCTTTTTGTAAGAGTTTACTGTCGGAGCCGTCACCATGTTGCTCCCTGAGTTACTCCAAGAGGAACTCGTCAGCTGCTTGGGTGGAGGCTGAACAGGGGTCTGAGGTTGATGGGGCTGCTGAGGGGGAGGCTGGGGTTGGGAGAGGGTCTGCTGAGTCGGCTGGTAGTAGGAGGGGGTTGGCGCAGAGGTGTAGCCAGTAGAATCATAACTGCGGTAGTTAACGCCTGGGGTGAGAGAGCAAGAAGAAAAGGCTGAGAAAACTTACAAAAGAAAAGAAGAGAAGGAAATAGGTCAAACATGAACAGTTGCAAATAATTTCATAAAAAGCGAGCGGCTCCTTTCATTTCTCCAGGGACAACAGAGGGACTGACATCTACTCTACAGTGACTCAGAAACTAGGGCTGAACCGATTAGTTGAAATAATCGATGACGTCGATTATGTAAATTTGTCGACGCAGATTTTTTATTATCGATTCGCTGTATTACATAACCACCACGTGAATGTTCATGCAATTCCATTTCGGTACCTAAATGCATCATTGCGACCGTATTGGCATAAGAGTGGTGAGTTTTCCATGCTTGTCCTGAACGCAGCATCGCGCAAGAGCGTAATGACGTCAGCAGCCGCTGCTTCAGTTCAGTCTGAAGCTTGAAAACAAGCCTCGCAACTCCTGGAGTAAAATTTACTGAACAGACCTCCTCTGAATTATCTGGTGGATTAATTATCTTGTAAACATGACGTTCACTTGCTCAAAGTAAATAAAGTACCACCACTTCCTTTATTTTATCCACCATTAAACAGAGACCGGTGTTAGGTGGAGCCACGTTCCCCCTTCAGACGGTTCCCCCATCAGACAGTTCCCCCATCAGACAGTTCCCCCATCAGACGGTTCCCCCATCAGACGGTTCCCCCATCAGACGGTTCCCCCAGCGTCTCAAACAACAGAGGAGCTTCCCGACACACGTCTGACCTAAAGAGCACAAGCAGCCAACAAGTGTTGGACGTGTTCTGGATGTTCAAAACGTAGCTTAATAACTTTTATTTATTTTAACTGCATCCTCTTTTGATTATTTGATTTAAACTTATTTGCCTTCCATGGACCTCCATCACACATTTTTCTAGTGGGGAAATGACATCAAAATAAATATGTGGAGCTGGATTTTAATTTGTGCAATAAGACAAAACAGTCTTGTTGTTTTCAACAGTTTTCACCTTAAAGAAATAAGTTACACAACTGATGTTACAATACAAAGAGTTGGATGTTGTCTTGATATTTGTTAAATTTTATATATTGAGAAATACGTTAAATAAAAATAATAAATAAATGTTTTTATTATAGTTTTTCCAGAGTGATTTGAATTTTGCATGATTTAGTTCATTTGTTAGATTGTTAACATCTTGCACTATATTTCTTTTACTTGAATTTTATATGCTCTGGTTGAGATTTTATGTTGATGTTAAATTTTTTGAGCTTTTTTTGTTAAAGAATTGACTCTAGAGTGCATATTTTGTGTCCATGAAAAAACTATTAAAGAAAATATTACAATATTAAAGAACTGTTGTTGTTAATTTGATGAAAACATTTTAAATTTCCAGTGCACTCACATCAGAATAACTTTTAGATTTGTTGTTAGAATAATCAATTAATCGAAAAAATAATCGTTAGATTAATCGATTAGAAAATAATCGTTTGGTACAGCACTATCAGAAACACACTGCAGAAAATAAATGTCACCAGTTTCTGTAGACAGCATTAAAATGTCTGTGACATGCATATCCTTCAAATTCAAAATGTCAAAGGAAACATCTTTATATTTAAGAAACTTGGCATAATACACAATTTTACTCAAGTTGTCACAAAACTGGCAGATTTTCTTTTAAGTTTGGCTCTGCCAAAGAGAAACAAAAATTATCATCAAAGAGGAACTCTGTAATAAAAGGATAATCTGCTCTTTGTTTATTTAAATCATATTAAAATCTCTCTGATAGTGACTCAAAATAACCTAAAACAAACCCACCAGCTTCTTCTCTACAGTCTGTTATCAGCCATCGTGGCAGTGCTCTGTTCACATGCAGACATTCCCCTTTGACATCACTTCCTGTTACTTCACATACGAATATCTCAACAACTGTTCATCTCAGCACTGTGATTTTTTTTTTACAATATGTCATCAATTTTATCTTTCAAAAAATTCATTCATATTTATTACAAAAATTTGATGTCACAGGCACTTTAAGCACAGAATCTACTAGTTCTCACTGCAGCTGTCTTAATGTTTCTAAAAGGAGTACCATGTTCTGCTTGTGAGCACAAAGAATATTTTATCTATTATTATTTTAAGTCTATCAATTTTGTTCACACAACATCAAAATATTACATAAAAATATCATTTAGCATCTGCATTACTTTACAAAAACCTCTTTGTCTTCTCTCACCAGAGTAGGAAGAGGCTGAGACGGTGCAGCCAAACGATGAGCCGAGGGTGTAGGATGAAATGGGCGCTGGAGGCTGCTGGACACTGGTGGACATAGGGTAAATGTTATAGCTAGTCGACACAGCGCTGGAGGGGACCAGGGGTTTCAGGGCCGTCACCTGCCTCTGTGGCAGAGGAGGCTGATTGTACACAGTGGAAGGAGCCGGGCTGTACGCACTCTTTACTCCTACTGATACAGATATGGAAGACAGAAGCAGAAAATGGCAGAACATTACTGCAAAGGAAGACACACTACAGACAGATACTGCCGCTTCTGGGACTGCTAATTTCCAGAGGCTTTATGGTAGGTGAGGCAGGATACTGATTTCACTAACAAATGAGCATGAAACACATTCCCCAAACAAACATTTAACATTTATGACTTCAACCAATGTCAACACGGAGGCGTTCAACATTTATTTAGCAGATAAAGCACACAAAATAACGTAAATAATTAAATGTTGAACTAATTTTCCCTGACTTTTTAACACTCTCTGCAGGTTGTTTCAGAACTGCAAACACTTAGAATGAGTCGGCAACTGATGACTAATAAATAAATCTATTTCCATCTTTTTAATTGCTAGTTGCTGACTGATAGAAAACGTGACGTTTCACTACCACGAAATAAATTAGATGCAAAAGCGATGAACAATTGCTGACGTTTTTACAAGAGCTCCACATATAAAACATTGTTACATAAAAATTGTAACTAAATATATGAAGATGACAGCCCTGGATGTGAGGTGTTTAAAGAGCTTGTGACTAAGATTTGTCCTGAGAACAGATGAAAACAAAACAAAACAATAATTAGAGTCCTGTAACTTTTCTAAACATAGAGTTTAATTCAACGTGTTCAGTATAGAAGACAAAAAAACATATTTTATTCAACATTAAATCCAACTAGAGATGGGACAAAAGTTCTTTGAAGGAATCTGAATCTTGACAAGCCGTTTAATTTTGAACAAATGACATCATCACATAGGGAGATACGTCATTATGTGCCGTACGTGAAGATGTATCTCTGTCATGTGGACAGAACCGTGTGTTTTGTCAAGCTAAACACCCCATCCTATACGTCCAGTGGTTCCCAAAGTTGGGGTTGGAACCCAAAGTGAGGTCCTGAAACATAAAGGTGGGGTCCTGAAAAGATTTTCTGAATTGATTACACTAAAAAATGAGAACTAACAACAATTATTTTGCCTTTGTTGTTACAAAAGAGTAAGGTTAGTGTCCTTACAATGGAGAAAAATAGCGTAATGAATATTGTTACTTTGCCCTTGTTTATTTGACATGAAAACAATGTTTATCAACCAACAACAGCTGGGGGCAAAGGTCTCTGCTGTTGGTAGTTTGTGGGTCAAAAGCTGAAAAGTTTGGGAACCACTGCTGTACGCCACCCGTTTCCCTGTTTTCCTTCGCCTCAGTGGAAAAAGTAAAAGTATTTTTGTTGTATGTTGAATTTATATTGTTTTTTTAAAGAAATTAATAAACTAACTGAACTGAACTGAAAAAGTAAAAGTGGAGCGATTGTCTCTGTGGTTGTGGAAGAAAACAAAGATATTACGAGTAAATAACATAAATACAAAACTAGCAGCGGCTCTTTACTGTCTGCTCCTCGGTTCTCATCGTTCCACGTCAAGAGACGTTCAAAAGATTTGGATCGTTCACGAACATCACATCTCTAAACCATACACAGATCACAACATTAAAATAAATGGACTTACCAGTCTGGTAATAGTTATCTGTGGCTGTCCTCTGAGCCGGAGCTATACTCGTCTGGTAATACTGTTTGTTGTCGTAAGTCGTCGCAGCAGCAGGACGAACGTAGCTATAGTTGTCCTGTTTACAAAAACACATTAAGTCCAAATATGAAATAAAAAGTCAATAACTTCAGCAAAACATGCTGCGAATACATAACACGTATATTAAAATAAACTTGTGTTCAAGCCTGTAATTTGTTAAGGAAATTAACGATGCAGCCCGGACATATTTGTGATTTTAAATCAATATTTTTAGTCTCTTTATTTGCACCGAAATTACAGCTGTTAAATAAAATATAATGTGCAAAAACAAAAAAAAAAAGAAGCAAAGAGAAACTGACCATGCTAGAGTATACCTGGTACGTCTGAGGGGTAGTGGTGGGCTGTGGTGGATCTGGCTGCCTATAGGTGTAATCTGGAGGTGCTTGGTGGCTCTGGTAGGTGGGGTAGGGGGCTGAGGCCACAGGCTGGGCTGCCTGGACTGGAGCTGGAGAGTAGGACGCAGTGACTGCATGAGCCACAGCTGGTGGCTGCTGGACACTGTAGGTCGCTGTAGATGGGTGGGAGTAGGCTGTGGGAGGCTGGGTACTAAAAGAAAGCAGGAGGAGAGAAAAGAAAGAATGAGTGAAATTGTTAAAAATAATAATAATAATAAATCCCCCCACCCCAAAGGTAAAACTAACACCATTCTATTTAATCTGAATTTTACATTCCTGTATTCTGGCCCCAGATTTGTACAACTTGTGAAATCCAAGTTCAGTAAATAAACTAAACACCAAAAAGGCAGATCCAGAACAGCTTCTATTTCTGGTTATAGGCAGCATTTTCTACTGACAGTAAGTGATGTTATCAGCATTTCTGTTCAGATTTCAAAGTCAAGGAGGACACAAATGAGAGGACTAAAATAAATTTATTGAACAATGAAGCTCTGTATATAATGCAATGATTACTCCACATTGTATAAAAGTTTGAGGAAAAGCATATATAACAATAACAAATGCTTTTTTTTTAAAGAGCAGTTAGAATACATTATGGTCACCCATCAAATATATAATTTTATCAAATGACATAATGGGCATTTTATGATTTGGTTGATTATATATAAGTTATGTAAGACTCAAAAATACATCTTTAAACATTCAATCAAAATTTGTTAAGAGAACAAGTTTATAACCTTAAAGGAATTAGGATTTTTGTAAAATCACAATTTTGAACCAGTTTAAAAGGAAAGAAGTACTTTAATTCAAGGAATACAGATTGATGTTTAAACTGCTGGAAAAAACTGTATATTTAAGAAAATATGCTAGTTTGTTAAAGAAATATATGATACGTGTGTTGAACTGATGTTGTGAAGGACCTGATAATGTTTTTGTCAGAATTTTATTTAGGGGGAAAGGGGCAAATCTTCTTCTGTCTGCTTTCATTTCATTTATGACTTGTGTTTTTTTATTGTATATAGATTTTCTTTTGTTTATTGTATGAATGAATGAATGAATGAATGAATGAATGAATGAATGACACCCTCAGGTTATAAAAGTACACATGCAGTAAAATCAATACCATTAAATTAGGGGTGCACCAATCAGTTTTCTGGCCGTTCTTTAAAAGGTTTGACCTTCCGATTCTGATTTTGGCCGTTAGTGATTTTTTTTTTTGAATATCTGATACTGTCGGTGTTATAAAGGTCACAATACACCTTCAATGTTCCAATCTTATTTTATTAAAAAACACTGAACAATACCCTTGAAACGATACAAAGTTATTGTACCTGACATTAGATAAGAGCTCACAGCAGTGCAAAAGGGGACAGTGGCTGATTTTCAGACCTTTGATAAGAAGTCGATCGTTTCCACCAATCTTATCCAAGTATCGGCCAATTTCCCCTAATTAAAGAAATTGATTTGATTTGATTGATTTATTTATTTAACAGGAAAAGATTATTAAAAATCAAGCCTGACTCAGCATAATTGCTGTTTTACAGCAGGTTCCTGTTCTGCAGCACATAAAACACTCAGAAATACAGCATCACAATCACATCATTATACACCATAGACACAAAGACAAACAAGCATACCAAATTTCAAAAAGGCAGCATTTGCAAAATAGGACGTCTAAATATGAACACAACAAAAAGTGTCCAGCAGATGGCAGACAAGATTCTTCTTAAAGGGCTGTAGTTTTGAAATGGACTTTATGTTTTGAGGAATGTCATTCCATGCTTTAGTATAAACATAGAAGAAAGACCTCTGGCCGTAACAGTTTTTAAAAGTTGGTAATATCAGTTGTCCTTTTGTAACAGATCTAGTTGAATGGCCACTTCCAGAATTTGATTTGGGCAACAATGCACAGAGAGTTCCATAATTGGCACCTTGGAAGATCTGAAAATATAAATTAATATCACTATACAAAACATAATTCTGAAAAGTCYAGGCATCAGACAATGAAAGAACTGTACAGTGATGAGTCCAATCAGGAAGTTTTTTATGAATTTTGTAGGCCCTGTTGTAGAGCCTAACTATGGGTTCTAAGATTACATTTGTTGTGAGAGACCAAACAGGTAAACAGTACGACATGGTTGAGAGTATAATGGCATGAAGARAGATATTTGAAACAGAAGATGTCAGATTGGATCTAATTTTTGAATAAACATATAATTTCTGTTTCAACTTAGTGGTTAAGACTTGATGCACCCCTACATTTATTCCTCAAAGAAATTGACTGATTCTACAGTAAAATGGCAGATGTGGCCTACTATTTAAACAGGGTTTAAGCTTGATTATTGTCTAAATATTAACTAAATAAATCAGGGGTGTCCAATCCTGCATGGTGTGCTTGTTTCTCTCCTCAAACACACCCGGCTTATTCCGTGATTGAATTATCTCTTCGAGTTCTGCAGAAGCCTGTTAATCCCCCATTCATTCAAATCAGGTGTGTTGGATCAAGAGAAACCTCCAAAACATGATAGGGCTCCTCCAAGACCAGGACTGGACACCCCTGAAATAGTCTATCATGTGGTACACTGAAAATGTATCACACACTGATGCTGCGTTCACACCGAACGCGATTTCAGCTTCAAAATCGCAGCCAACGCTGAAGTTTGAAGCTTGTGCACTTTGAGGTCAGACGCAGGACAGCTGTTGAAGCGCTGCACGGCGACAGCCTCCCCGCCCCTCCCTCCTCTGTCGGATGAGGAAGTGGCTTTGCTTTATTTACAGAGAGCAAGAGCATGTCACGTTCATCAGATAATTAATTCATAATTAATTCACCAGATAATTCAGAGTAGAGGCTCACAGCTCGCTTACAGGACTATTTTTCCAGTCTGATGAGTCGCTGTCACGCATTGCTGCGGATCAGGACATGACTGCAGGCACTCATTTCAGCTAAAGAGCTCCTCTCCGTCTGTTTCAGGTTAGTGGACATCATTCAGTAAACTGTCCCATTGGGAAATACCTCTCTACGTCACACAGTGGAGTCTCTCTGATTGGTTGATGCGGCGCGTCGAGCTGCAAAAGTTCAGATTTTCTAACTTCAGCGATTTGCGCCTCAGCGCGTCGAACGCTCAGATCGTTCAAATCGTTCAAATCGCGCTGCTCTAATCGCGCTTGAAGCGCCGCAGCCCTTCCCGACGTTGCTTGAAGCMCGTCCACCATAGACTTTGTATGTAAACCTGCTGCTCGTGACGCTGAAATCGCGTTCGGTGTGAACGCACCATGAATGAGCCTTTTCCAAACGCCAGAGTCCTACCGCAATCTGAACATTTTCAGCAAAACCAAACAGAGCAAGAAATCAATCCGTTTGTTTGGACACTTCTCTGCTGACCTACATACCTGCTCTGTTCATAACCTGGCCTCAGCGTTAAATAATGCTTTTCTTTCTAAACCAAAACAATCCAACTAGTTCAATAATTCAAAGTTTAGTTAACCCTAACCCAACTCTAGATTTCTTTAACTATTAATTACAAATCATCTTTTTGTAGCATTGATAGTCAACATGTAATTGTCTGGGCTTAAAATAAAACTAACCCTAACCTTAAACAATAGATTCAAAGAGAGACTTTTTAAAAAAAAAGATAAGAATAATGATTACACAATAATAGGCGTAATAATAGGCGTTGTGTTGTGCATCTAGCTTTAAAGACATTATGAATTTGGTTCAAACAGGAACTTTGCTAATGATAAATGGTATTTTTAAACAGAAACAGCAGGATAAAATCTTGAATAGTACCGGTAATTAACAGAAAAGAGCTTCGTCATGGATCCACTTTTCTTTCACGGTAATTCTGCAAATAGACAAGAGTTTACTCAACATGACCCTTGGTTGATGTTGATCTTAGAAAAAGATGTTAAACTCTTAATAACTACTTTTCCCAATACGTACAAATGTATAAAGCCAAACAAAACAAAGCTCATTTATTTGCCAAAAACTCCTTTTTTAAACTCATTTTTATTATTGTTGGGTTTATCTTTTCGCTCCACAATCCAGGGGCAACAGCATTAAAGTGTTTGTGTCATGCATATCCTGCAAATACAATACGTAAAAAAAATAAAAATAAAAAAACATCTTTAATTTTTAAAAAACTTGGAATATACAAATGATTTTACACATTTTGTCACATAGCTGGCATATTTTCTTCTGAACATGGCTCAGCCAATGTGAAATAGGAAGTGGCATCAGAGGGGAAATCTTAAAGAAAGAAAGCTCTCCTGTCGTCGTTTACTGAAACAATATAGTTTGAACTTTGACTCTTCTTCATCTCTCTCTGATAGCGACTTAAAATAATCTTTAAAAAAAACATCAGATTCTTCTCCGCAGTCTGCGTCGTTGGCCATTGTAGTAATGCTCGGTTCATGTTCAGACATTTTCCTTTGTAATCACTTCCTGTTACTTCACATGCAATTATGTCAACAACCGTTCATCTCAGCTGTGTAAATTTGTTTTTGCAATGGATTATCAATGTTATCTTTCCAAAAATGCATTCATGTTTGTTCCAAAAAAAATTGATGTCAAAGGCACATTAAGCCTTGCATTTTCAGTAAATCTGCCACTCGCAGGTATAAGATTTACTGCATTTCAGCACTGTTTTAATTAGGGTTGTGTATTGGCAAGAATTTGGCGATACGATACATATCATGACAGTGGGTTCACGATACGATATAGCCCGATATATTGTGATACTATAAGCAAGGCGATATATTGTGATTTTTTTTTTTGTCTAAAAAGTTCTATTAAATAAAAACCTCTTACAGGGGAAAAAAAGAAAAACCAAAATTCATTGTCTCAGAAAATTCTAATATTACAGAGACATGCTTTTGATACATTTAGCGTGTTCTGCTTTGTATGTATTTTTTTGTTTCATATTTCATCCATGTTTTCAATTATTAGACTAAATTTGACAATAAATAGTTTGAAAATATATTTTTACAGCTTTTAGTTTTTAATATTAATTTACAAAATGGTCACCCAACACTTAACAATGTAGAGTAGCCCAAATGGCTGGCTCACTGCTGCCAACTAGCGGTCAGAGGCTGAACTACAACATAAAAATGAACGGCTGGCAGGAAAGTTGACATTTTAAACCTTAATAAAAAATCGATACAGGACTTTAGAATATCGATACAGTATCGGGAAATGAAATATCGCGATATTTCAGTGTATCGATATTTTCTTACACCCCTAGTTTTAATAGCCTTCTTTAAAAAAATACAATTAATACTGTATATTGATAAATATAAGCCTACATATTTTAATCTAAGTTACAGTAAATTACAGATGTTACTCATCAAGTTAAGATAATTAAAAAGCTTTAATTGCATAATTAGAGAGTAGCATGTTTACAGCTTAAAGAAGATTACAAACACAGAGAATAGTTGAAAACATAATGTTAAAGTTTGGGATAGGCAGACTTTGTGCACAGGAAAACGTGACTGAAATGGAATGTACGAGCTTATTTTCTTTTCCTTTTTTGTGCTGTGAGGAAAATATTCCTGTTTTCCAGGTTTGCTGACTTTTGAAGCACAACCAGGACAATAGAACTGGGACTTTTAGAGCTTTGACCGCAGAAAATAAATGTAAATATTGAACATGTAGCTACATGTCGGTCCTAATGATGATGATGATGCTGTCAAACCTGACAATCAATCTCACCTTGCGGCTGTCTCACTAATTAAACGGTTACCTCACAACCCACAAACATTTACTTTTACTCCGAGCCAAAGACTGCACTGTTCAGACATCGAGTAATCCAGGACCAAGCTTTAGCACTAGAATTCAAAACGCCGGCCGAAATATAAAACCCCATCACCCGCAGCAGCCTTAAACGACACGCATAATCCTGACTTTTCCATCTTTGACTTAAATTGTGACGTTACATGATGTGCTTAAAAAAAAAAACCGAAGCATCCACAGTTGCCTCCAGGCAGAGGTTGTCCGCACACTGGAGCTTTAATGTCGGTGAACACTGGCCTGCGAGCAGCCTCAGCTAATGTTAGCTAACCGATACCGAACGACCGGGTCAGGCTATAACATCTCATAAGAACCCCATGTCTCCCTCAAAATAATTCAAAAGACGGTTCCCGAGGGAAAACTCGCTTCATGGCAAATATTTATATTACTTGAATTACCTGTATTGCGGACCGGCACCATGTGTGAACCCGAAATAGTTGCTAGCAGCCATCTTTTCAGCTCCGGTACAGTACAGTACCAACCTGAGTGCAAACAGCAGCGAACCCGTGAAATCTACGCGTCAAGATAGTTCACCGTCTCTGCTGCTGCTTGACGTTAATTACAAAATGACTGTTGGACGGATAATAATAATAATAATAGCTTCATAAATCACAGCAAATAATATATTTTATATTAAAACGTTGTTATTTTATTTAAACCTTTAAGTGTGTGGTTTTTAAATCGTTTAAAAAGAAAATCACCCTATACATTTACCATTAAACTGAAAGCGGAAGTAGTTAAGGGGTAAATCTTGATTCGCTTATTTATTCTTTGATCATATTTTCTGGATGTCACTGAGGACATTTTCAGTCTTGCTGTCAGTGTGTTAAC